CGGGCACCCGCCAGGATCCACGGCTCGCTGTCGGGTGACAGCGCGCAGAGCGGGCCCTGCCAGCCCCGGGGGTGCTCGGGGAGGAGGCAGCACCGCCGCGCGCACCGTGTGCCGGGAGCGCCGCCTCTCAGCAGTGCCCGTCTTTGTGCCCCGCAGATCTCCAGCTCGCTGGGGCAGAGCAGGACGCCGGGAGCGTCTCCGAGCTCGCCCTGGAGCTGCCGGCGGAGCTGGATGCCCGCGTGGCCAGCGCTGTCCGAGCCCTGCAGGACGACATGCGGGGGAGGAGGCAGCACCGCCGCGCGCACCGTGTGCCGGGAGCGCCGCCTCTCAGCAGTGCCCGTCTTTGTGCCCCGCAGATCTCCAGCTCGCTGGGGCAGAGCAGGACGCCGGGAGCGTCTCCGAGCTCGCCCTGGAGCTGCCGGCGGAGCTGGATGCCCGCGTGGCCAGCGCTGTCCGAGCCCTGCAGGACGACATGCGGCAAGTGCTGGAGCGCCTGAGCCAGCTGGAGACGCTGGCCTCCGCGCAGGTACGCAGGGAGCCGCCGCGTGCCGACGTTGGCTGGCAGGGCTGCGGTGCTGCTCGCCGGTGCTGCTCCGATCCGCCCCGGGGTGCAGGCAGGGAGCCGAGGTGCAGGCAGGGAGCCCGCCAGCCCTGCCTGCACCCCAAACGCTCTCTTGTCTTGCAGGGGGACGCAGCTGGGACTGACCCGGGCTGGCCGCTCGCTCCGCAGGTGAGTTGGAGGTGGAGGCAGGGCTGCGCCATGGCCTGGCCACCCCACGCTGCCCACCCCGAGGGGCCTGGCTGCCCGGGGGGGCCGGGGACGCGGCGTGGGAAGGGTCCCTGGGCTGGGGGGCAGGGGCCATCCCTGGGGACGCGTCCCCAGCGTCCCGGCACCAGGGACGAGGGTTTTAATGCGAGATCCGCGCAGGGTGACGGGCGCGACGGGGACCGTCGGGCTGTGACGGTGGCTGCCGTCAGCGGGGGCTGGGGGGGATGCGTGGGGACACCCTCGTCCCCTCCCCACCCCGCCTCTCTCCGTCCCCTCCCCAGGCAGGGTCCCCCTGGCCCCTGCCCGCCAACC